CCCCAAAACCCCAAAACCCCAAAACCCCAATTCACTGAACTAAGATTGAATTTAATAATATTTTGGTATAAAAATGATTACAAAATCTGAATCTTTTGCCAGCAAAGAAAACAAGGAGGTAAAACAGTATTTCTAAATACTGCCTTTCAGCTTTTATTTAGCTGAAAATACGAAACTGCAACTAAATGTGACTAAATCTTATTCTATAGTGAGATGATTGAACGCAATGAGTTCAGCATCATGAGCTTGATGGAATCAGGAAACACAATATCGGAGAATCGGAATTCCTAATAAGGAAATAAAGAGATCAATGTTCTCATTGTCTACACTGGAGGTACCTTTGGAATGGCTCCAAGCGAAGATGGATACAAACCAGCAACGAATCTACTAGGAAATCTTCATTCGATCAAGTTATTTTATGATAAAGAGTATACTAAGGCAACAAATATTCCTGGAACTTCATGTACCCCTCAGACTTGGTTTAAGCAGAGATTAAGGTACCATTTGTTAGAGTATGAACATCTCATCGATTCTTCAGAATTAAACAGTAGACATTATGGCCAAATAGCTGCCACAATTGAAGAGAATTACGATAATTATGATTCTTTTATTATCATCTATGGAACAGATACAATGGCTTATATGGCATCTCAACTTTCTTTCATGTTTGAGAACCTTGACAAAACTGTGGTAATCACTGGTTCCCAGATTCCTCTCGCAGAGTGGAGAAATGATGCTGAGGCTAACCTGATAGGTGCACTCACAGTAGCTGAGCATCGAATCCCTGAGGTTACTGTATTCTTCAACGGTAAACTATTCAGAGGAAATAGAGTCTGTAAAGAAAGCTCAGCCAAGCTGAACGCTTTCAATAGCCCAAATATTCCTGAACTTGCTAGTTTTGATGTATTCCTTCATTATAACAAAAATTTGATAAGAAAACAAACTTCTCTTAATGCTAAGTTCAATGTCTTCAAGCTCCTAGAGAGAAAGATAGCTATTATATTCGTGCATCCGCTGATCACTTCCTCTATTTTCTTAAGTTACTTCAAAAGAGCTAAGGCTATTGTCCTTCAGACTTACGGAATGGGAAACTTCCCCATGAGCAGAGTAGACCTCCTCGAGATAATCGAAGATGCTATCCTTAAGTACAAGAAAACAGTTGTCATTGTCAGTCAATGCAGAAGAGGATTTGTAAGAGGTAGCTATTCAAGCTGAGTTGAACTCAAATAAACTAGGAGCTATCCTTGCAGAAGATATGACCATCGAAGCCGTTATCGCTAAACTTTCCTATGTCATCGGCAAAGGATACAAAGGCAATGAGATACAAAAGATGATGCTCAAAGATCTAAGAGGGGAAATCAGCATTGAAGATGAAGAGGCTAAGAGTCAAGAGCAGCAGGCTTTAATTTCAAAGATTCTCACACTTGCTGGAAGCAGCATTGAAGGAGATAAGCCCGAAGACCTAAACAAAGTTGCCGAGATGCTCCAACCGATTCTTGCTCATACAGCAATTGAGGAATCAAACATCGAGAAACTTACCAAGATAATAGAGAATGGATACAATATCAATCAAAATGACAAATTTGGGAATACACCTTTGCATTTTGCCATTCAGAATGAGAAAATAGAAATAGTAGACTTCTTGCTCTCTCAAGATAACATCAAAGTTGATGTGGAGGATAGTCAAAAGAATTCTCCATTATACTACGCATGTTTACAATCAAATGAGGAAATCTTTTCAAAATTGGCCACAAAAGGAGCTAAACTGCTTACAGAGAAGTCTAAAATCGCTGAAATTCTCTGAATGAAAGCCAGAATGGGCGACCTAGCTTCTCTTAAGCTCTTCTATAAAGCAGGAGTCGACCTCGAATCTAAGAATTATGAACAAAGTACCATTGCTCATATAGCTGCAGTTGAAGAGAGTGAAGAAATCCTAACTTTCCTTGCTCAAGATACGAAGTTTGACTTTAGCATAAAAGATCGAAATCAAAAAGAGCCCTTAGAATGCCTTAAAAACCAGACTATTGTTGAAAAGATTCAGCAACTGTGTCAGTCTAGAAAGGAGAACTTCACTGAAGGAAGCGTAGACAATAACTAACCCAATATCAGATCAGTCTGAAGATTAGAGAAGTACTTGCTTAGTTCTACACAAGATTCACTAAACCATACTTGAATCCCATTGTAATTCTCAAAATATAGGCTAAATTTCAATAAAAATATAAATTTTGGGGTTTTGGGGTTTTGGGGTTTTGGGGTTTTGGGG